ATTTCGAGACTCTCCAGCAGCACGCAGCATTCGGTATTTTAATTATAATGTTTTAACGCTCGCGAATATGCATATGCGCACGTACTTACATCTAGTAACATAGGGATAAAATATCTAGTGATGTCTGAAATCAGACAAGTCGGCCTCCCGGTCTATAATAATATATTGTTAATGTTCTAAAATAGATCCGGACGTTGCAGTACCAATGAGTATCGAGTATTAAGTCGCCATATTGGTGTTCGATGCTTAATATTCGATGCTCATTGGTCCATACGATCTTATGCTATGCATATGCAGTTATGTCAATTTGTGTGCGATAGCCCTTAACCTGTACATGCATGTACTGAAAATCTGAAGTTGTGAAACATTTGATTAGTTTGCACGTATAAAATATGCCGAAAGTAAAGTGTGCTGTTATAAATTGCACTAGTAGTATTGTGAAAGGAGAAAATAAAATATCCTTCTTTAAGTAAGTAGTATGAAGTAAAAATAATGTACATAATAGCACTTCGAAAATAATGCTTACAATTATAAAACTATCATATCATAAGTAAAAAATATACAATTATGAAACTATCATATCATAAGTAAAAAATATAATATAAATGTACAAAGTATTAAGTTAAACACTATGAAACAATATAGGTTTCCCATGAATATATCCAAATTATTAGAAAAATGGATAGCGGCTACAAATAGAGCAAATTGGGCACCAACATCATCAAGCAGAATTTGCTAGTTGCATTTTACTAGTAATGACTTTTAAAAAAGCACAACTAAAGTGGTAAGATTGAAAGCAGATGCAATACCAACACTAAACTTAAACATTGGTAATTGTGATACAGATATATGTAAGTATATACATTTATTTGTTAATCGATTAGATACATACTACATTTAATTATTGATAATTAGAGGTTTGCACTTTTCTTGCAGTCTATAACAGAAAATATGGAATGTACAAATGTATTAAGTGTACTTGAAAATAAAAGTGCCCAAATAGGTAAGGAAATAATAACATTGTGCGCATATTTCTTCACTTGACATGGCTCCATATAACTATAATATACATTTGTATTAATGTACATGAATGAATAATCAAAGTATAAATATGTATGTGTATATATTATATATATGAACTATAAAACAATTTTTCAGACTTAAGAAAACTAAACCAAATACAAAAACGTAAAGCCATTGATATATTAGAAAGTGTGAAAATTAAATGTCGTAAAGTGGAAGATAAAAGTAAGGAGCTTAAAACTACAATTCAATCTTTGAAAAAAAGTTATAAAAAGCAACTAAACATTCAAGCAGACATGTTTAGAACTCTAATGGAAAAAGAAAAAAATATGTTACCAAAAAAACTGAGTAAAGAAAAAAAGAAATTTTTATTACTTAAGAAAAGAAATAGTCGAAGGGAAGCAAAAATTGAAAGTTTAATAGAAGAGTTAAAAAAAAACCAGGTAGACTAAATGAAGAAGCACATGATATTGTCAGCTTAAGTTTAAATAGTATTTCTTCCAAATTACAGTAGCGCTCAAAAGTCTTTTTACAAATAGTGTTTTGTAAAGTATTTTATTATTAATATTAATATTAATAATAATAATATATATGTATTAACCTTTATAATATAAACTTTGCACATAATATCACATGTTAACAACAAAATTAACTTATCAATTACTAAACGAATATAACATAAACAAAACTTTACTTTATCATGGTTCATAAGTGATTTGACATGTTAGTGTTTAACGACTATGTATTAATGTTTTTAAATAAAGTGATAAACATTTGTTAAACACATTGTTACGATATCAGTGAACACTAATATTTAGTTGCATATCCTTTTGCCGATAACACAGCTTCACATCTTCTAGACATAGACTCGATAAGTTTTATTATACTGTTTTGGGGAATTTTCGTCCACTCATTTTGTAAAGTGCAGAAAAAATCGTCCTGATTAGAGTAATTCTGTGTTCTAACACGTCTGTCTAATTCTTCCCATAAATGTTCAATCGGATTCAAATCAGGACTTTGACTAGGCCACTTCAAAATATTGATCTTTTTCTTT